ATCTATATGACTATTTTTAAATAACCATATAATATTTCATTTTGTGGTTGGATCTTATTTATTTAGCCAATTGTTTGATTTCTAGGTTGTTTCTGTCTTTTTCCATGCCACAAAGAATGTATTTCTACATGTATCCTTGGGCACTTGTCTCATTATTTCCTTAAGCCAAATTCCCTGAGGTAGAATTTCTGGGTCAAAGAGTATAAATATTTGAAAAGGTTTTAATATGTGTAACCAAATTACCCTCTAAACAGTGTGTGACAGTATTCTCAGTAGAATCAGTTGAGGACATCCTTCACCTGTATCTTTCTAACACCATAAATGATCACTTTTTTTACCTTCTGCCAGTATGATGGGCCAACGTGGTATTGTTTGATTGTTTTAAATTGAAATTTACTTGGATTGACTGAGATTGAACTTTTTCCATATGTTCATTTCTTTTCTAGTAAATTTCTTTTTGTATCTTTTGTCTACTTTTCTACAAAAGTAGTCATCTTTTTCTTATTGATTAGTAAGAGAGCTTTATATATTAAGGAGATTTACCCTATGTCTGTTTTTTTTCTTTTGTTTTTACTGTGATTTGAGTGAAAGTTTACAGAGCAAATTCATTTTCCGTGCAGCAGTTCATACACATTTTGTCTCATGATGTTGAATGTGATTTCCCACAATGCAACAACTCTCTTCCACTTCCTCCCTGTAGTTACTTCCTCCCTGCGTGCTCCCCATGTCCGTTTTAAGTTCTGTCGCTAATGTTCACTCTGAGCTGTCCTTTTTTCACCTGAAGGTTTGGGACATGCCTTTTTACTGGAGAGAGCACCAGATCGTCTCCCTGGGGCGCATTGCTCTGGCTCTTAATGAGAGTGAGTTGGAGCAGCTGGATCTCAGCTCCATTGACACAGTGGCTTCCCTGACCCAGCAGACTGAATGGACCCTGGGACAGGTGGGTAGATGTTGCTGGATCTTTAAATTATTCTCTCTTAATTTAGTTAGTTTTCTTTGGCATCCTTGAATATATTCATAATACGTATAATAACCACTTTTAAATCCTTGCTGTTAACATCACTGACATTACTGAGGGTTTCTATTGACTGATGTTTCTCCTAGTTATGGCTCATATCTTTCTGTTTATTGTAAAGCCTGGTGATTTTGATTGAATGTTGGACACTGTGAATTTTATGCTAATTGCTGGACTTAGTTGTATTCTTTTAAAGAGTATCGTGCTTTGT